GTTGCCGGCCACATGACCACAGAGATGTCTTCGGACAGCATTGGCTCTTCAGCTTTGAAACGGAGATGAGTACCGCCCCCTAGAGTTGGGAACGATTAGCACATATGTGCGAGGGGAATTTTTACCTTTACCTTACATAATATATACAACGAAATTGGTTTACCTCCTTGGCGCAATCATAACAGAAAATACAAAACAACATAAATGGTATAGAGAATAATCCCTATACAAGTAATTTTGGAAAAAAGACTAATAAGTTTATGTATGTTTGTGGGGTGATTGTGATTGGTATTTTGGAAACTGGTTCCTACATGGGCATGGTATCACCATGACACTGAATAGTTCCAAGAAATTCATCTATCATAGATAATCTGATAGCAGCTTTGAACTGCTTGTCATGTAAAGACATTTTGCTTAGTCCATGAGACTGCAGCCACATGTGGCTGATTGCCCCCTTAGAAGGTTACAGTAAGGATAGAATAAAGGCCCAATAAAGTGCTATCCAAAAGTGCTCAGTAGGCTGCTTGGTGGGTGGACTGCTAGGAGCTTCATTCCATACCCTGCTTCTACTCCATCAGCTAGGCAGCTTCTGGGCCTACGTGTACTGGCCTTCTGGTCATTTGGACTTTCAGAAGACCCGAAGACCCAGGTTCAGAAATAGCTCAAGCAACAAGTTACCCCTGTGGAGTATTTCTGCAGTAACAACCTCTCATTTGGACAACTTGAATGTGTTAAAAGACTGTCGGAGACTGCCATGCCAAACTTTTAAGGAGAGGATTGTTGCATTTTTCACTGCTGACACCTAGTGGAAGAGGAAGAACCAAGGAAGGTTGCAATGAGCATGAAAAGTGGAGAGAAGAGGGAGGGAACAGCTTTTCTCCCCCTTTCTTTGGAGGGTAGAGCCGAGGATTTTGTTCAGTATCTGTATGACAAAATCACTCAGATTCGGGAAGATCTGGACTCGGACTGGGTAGTCTCAGGGGGAGGGACTGGGGCAGGTCTTGAGAATGTTATCTGGGATGAGTTTGATCCTGTGACCCCTGAGGACGTGGACAGGATTCTGGGTAGACTAAACGCGACCACTTGTTTATTGGACCCGTGTCCCTCCTGGTTAGTGCTGGCTTCTCGGGAGGTGACACGAGGCTGGTTCCAGGGGATTATAAATGCTTCGTTGGGTGAGGGTGTCTTTCCTGCCGCCTTGAAAGAGGCGGTGGTGAGGCCTCTCCTCAAGAAGCCTTCCCTGGACCCGGCAATGTTGGTAAATTATTGTCCGGTCTCCAACCTTCGTTTTGTGGCGAAGGTTGTTGAGAGTGTGGTTGCGCAACAGCTCCCCAGCACCTGGATGAAACGACTTATCTGAATCCGTTCCAGTCGGGCTTCAGGCCCGGGTACAGCACGGAAACGGCATTGGTCACGTTGGTTGATGATCTCTGGAGGGCTCGGGACAGGGGGTGCTCCTCTGTCCTGGTCCTGTTAGATCTCTCAGCGGCTTTTGATACCATCGACCATGGTATCATGCTGCACCGGTTGGAAGAGTTAGGGGTGGGAGGCACTGTGTTGCGGTGGTTCTCCTCCTTTCTCTCTGACCGGTCGCAGTCTGTGTTGACAGGGGGACAGAGGTCGACCTCGAGGCCCCTCATATGTGGGGTGCCGCAAGGGTCGGTCCTCTCGCCTCTCCTGTTCAACATTTATGTGAAGCCGCTGGGCGAGATCATCCATGGTTTCGGGGTGGAGTACCATCAGTACGCTGACGACACCCAGCTGTACATCTCCACCCCGGATCACCCCAACAATGCCCTTGAAGTGATGTCCCAGTGCCTGGAGGCCATACGGATCTGGATGGGGAGGAACAGGCTCAGGCTCAACCCATCCAAGACCGAGTGGCTGTGGTTTCCGACGTCCCGATATAGTCAGTTGACGCCATCACTGACTATTGGGGGTGAATCATTGGCCCCCACGGAGAGGGCTCGCAACTTGGGCATCCTCCTGGATTCACGGCTGTCTTTAGAAGAGCACTTGACGGCCGTGACCGGGAGGATTTTTCATCAGGTTCGCCTGATTCGCCAGTTGCGTCCCTTTCTGGATCGGGACTCGTTGCGCACGGTCACTCATGCCCTCGTCACCTCCCGCCTGGACTATTGCAATGCTCTCTACATGGGGCTCCCCTTGAGGAGCACCCGGAGGCTCCAACTGGCGCAGAGTGCGGCCGCGCGGGTGGTAATGGGAGCGACATGGCGCTCCCATGTAACACCTCTCCTGCACGAGCTGCACTGGCTCCCGGTGGTCTTCCGGGTGCGCTTCAAGGTTTTGGTTACCACCTTTAAAGCGCTCCATGGCTTAGGACCTGGTTATCTACGGGACCGCCTACTACCACCAATAGTCTCCCACCGACCAGTACGCTCTCATAGAGAGGACTCCTTCGGGTGCTGTCAGCCAGTGTCGGCTGGCAACCCCTAGGGGGAGAGCCTTCTCTGTGGGGGCACCTACCATCTGGAATGAGCTCCCCCCAGAGATACGGAGGATCCCGGATCTGCGCACCTTCCGCTGCGCTGTGAAGACCTTTTTATTCCATCAGGCGGGCTTGGCCTAATCTCTTCCCTTTTTTAAATATGTAAATTTTAATCTGTTTTTAAATTATTGGGGTGTTTTAATCTGTCTGGGCCAAAATGATTTAATTTGATTTTATCTGGTTTTTAAATTTTTTGTATCTATGTATTTTATTGTTTGGCTGTTCACCGCCCTGAGTCCTTCGGGAGTAGGGCGGTATACAAATCAAATAAACTAAACTAAACTAAACTAAACTAAACTAAACTAAACTAAACTATTCTCTCTTATCAAGATGACAGGAAAAGGAGCTAGTGAATGGAACTTTGTGCCAGTTTTCTGATTTCAGCATTAACAACTTGTGAAATAGCATTAGCATCAGGATCAATACTCTAAATTCTAAATATCTTAGTTGGTTAAACTGAGGAGAAAGGGTTAAACCAAACTCACATTTAAGTTCACTATCACATAACAGTGGAACTTTATGGCAAAAAAAATTCCAACATATTTATAGCCAATTTTTCTTTATATATCATGCTTATTTGAGGGACTGCCTCTTCCTGATTTTATCTGCCCATCCCACCAGATCCAATAGGCATGTTACAGCTTCCATTGTTTCTATATGACTGTATATGACGTTCTATGACTGTAACCTTGTTGCTGGATTTATATTGACTGTTTTTGATTGCTTATTTGTTCCCTATGACTATCATTAAGTGTTGTACCTTATGATTCTTGATGAATGTATCTTTTCTTTTATGTACACTGAGAGCGTATGCACCAAGACAAATTCCTTGTGTGTCCAATCACACTTGGCCAATAAAGAATTCTATTCTATTCTATTCTATTCCTATTCCTATTCTAAGGAGCTGCAATTGGCAGGCCCTATGAAAGAAACTTTTCCTGCTGTGGTGCCTGCTGTGATTGTAGAATCTTCTCTCCAAAAGATTAGTTTTTGGCCTCGTTATCTCCTGAACTTTCAAAGATCCCTCAAGACCCTGCTATGGCAACAAATGTGGGGACACCAGGGGATGGGTGAATTCATTAGGTTAACTGTTTTCACTAACATCCTTCAATTTATTATACTGTTTATATCATTATAGCCCCCCTCTAAATTAAGCAAAAATACCCTTGCATTAAAAGAAATTCATAGGGCTCCAACTATCTTACTTTCATGGGTATCACTGTTATTGAAGACAATGCCCTCTATATGCTATGCAGGAAAAATAATGCTTGTGGCCAATAAAATAACCAAAGGGCCAGTCATCATTATGTGAACACCTTTCATAACTTATCCTCTGTAAGGCAAATAAGGCTGAAAGATGTAATTGCTTCCTAACTATCCCATTACAAGTAGCCCCCGAATTACGAATGAAATGGAGCCTGCCCATTTGTAACCCGAGGATTCATGGGAGTGAATTTTGTACCTTAAATGGGATCACTCCCTCCTTTTGCCCATGCATTCACTAATCGAATGCAAGGCTCGTTAAATACACATGAGGTATTTCAGGGTGGGGAAGGCCATGGGGAGGCCCTACTGATGGAACAGGCCACCTGCCTAAGACCACTCAAGGCCACCCCGACCCACAGAAATACCTCATGCTCCCCACAATTGCTTTCCCCCCAACCTGCCATGTTGGGTCACTTACCTTGTGAAGCAGTCTCCTTGTAGGTTGCCAGCTAAAATGGAGCTTCTGAGGGGCAAATCCAGCCCTCTGACATTGTTCGGCCCTCTGTGGACCTCCCCTGGCCCGTTACAAGTTGAAATGCAGCTTCTGAGGGCCGGAACCCCTGGAAGCTCCATTTCGGCTTGCAACAGGCCGGGAGAGGCACACGGAGAGCCGAACAGAGCACCAGATCCATTTCAGCCTGCAATGGGCCAAGGGAGGCTCATGGAGGGCCAAATGTAGCACCGGAGGACTGAATTTGCCCCTCAGAAGCTCATTTCGGCTGGCAATGTTCAGGATGAATGTTGCAGAGCAGGGGTGGTATTCACTTACCCTCGCTACCGGTTCACAAATGTGAGCGCGCGCATATGCGCAGAGGGCCTTCCATGCATATGCAGAGCATCAAAAACGTGGATAAATGGGACGTGATTACGTCTGAGCGGGTGGGCAGAGCTTCCCGCAGCCACTGCCACCAGTTCGTCCAAACCGGATAGAAGTGGCTGAACACCACCACTGTTGCAGCCTCTGCGGTTGTTCTTAAGGGCAAAAAACTGCCTTGGTGCTGCAAGATTCGTAGTTTCGGGCCTTGTTCATAAACACTAGGGGGCGCTTATCATGTAAATTTGAACATTCGCTAAGGGAACGCTCGTAACTGGGGGATTACCTGTAAATGCTTTTAAAAAGATACGCCATTATGTTCCAGCATTGAAGAAGAAAAGATCCATGATTCCAACAACTGATGTCATTCTACACTTTTAGTGTCATGTTTAGAAAAAGTGACTGTGAGCCTTTCAGAGATCATCTGCATTTTATTTAAAATTTCCCACTTTCTGCTTAGCTGTAAATATTTCAGAACCCAATAATAAAACTGCTGTCTTAATTCAAACCACTAAGCAACAAATAAAGGAGCATTATATTCCTTGCTATTTGGGGATGTTACACAATTTATATCAGGGGTGTCAAACTCATGGCCCACGGGCCGGATGCTTCACGTGCTGGCCGCACCTACCCCTGGTTTAGCAAAGGGGGGAAAAAGTCCCGATAAGTCACGTGACAATGACGTGACGTGATTTTGGCACCCCTGATTTAAATGCTTTACAAAAGACTTGATGTATTTTAACTTCTTAAATATATAAATATGCAGGTAGCCTTGACTCACAACCACAATTAGGACCTGAATTTTGGTTGTTAAGCAATGCAGTCCTTAAGTGAGTCATGTGACTAGACCTAATTTTATGACCCTTTTTATGTAGTTATTAAGTGAATCAGATGGTCTTTAAATGAATTTGGAATTTCCCAATTGATTTTGCTTGTTGGAAGCTAGCTGGGAAAGTGACAAAATTGCAATACATTGCAACTGTCATAAATGCAAGACAGTTGCCAACTGCTTGAATTGTGACTGCAGGGAGGTGTGCCTGCATGTGCAATAGTCCTAATTTTGGGGACCAGTCATCAGTCACTTTTTCCAAGGCCACCATAACTTCAAATCATCGTTAAACTAACATTTTTAGATTGAGACGATCATTATGTATCATTATGACCCAGAGATGGCAATATATAAAGGTTGACCAATAGATGGCGCTCTAGTTCCATTTTTCTTTCACAAAAAAAAAGACCAATCATAGTAGGGTACCATATTAAGGCCAGGCAATTGATTTTAGGATGTTGAAAATCACTACTTTCTAATATGATTGGTCTTTGTTGTATTCCCATATGAAATGGACTTTTATACTTAACAATAGTAAATAATTTAAATACAAGGTAACATTACAGCTTCAAACTTTACCAAAAAAAACCCACCCTTATTTTTTATTTGTTACCTTTCTCTTAGAAAAAAATTGCCATTTTTAAACAGAGTTCAAATACGCAAATCCTGAGTTTCATAAATTCATGAAAAAGCACAGAAAACTGCAGGGGCTCTGAACAGCCGGGCTTGGGAATGATCTGTTTTATCGTTTGCACTATGCTGAAGAGTTCATGAGCTCATTTACCACTGCTCCCTAGAGCCAAATCATGCAAAATCTTGGAAAAGAGACAAGGTGAGCCTTCAGAAGAAAGGGCGTATTCAGTTTGTATACAAAATACTTCCATTTTCAAAGTAACCAGTACTTCAAGGCCCCGAAGTTGTTGTTGTCCAAACTACTTAAAAATGTGGAAACAGCCAAGGTCCGCTTTCCATCACCCGTCTCCAAGTAATAGCTGTTGAGCTGTTCTTGCCTAATTCTGAATGTCCACAAACCATGGATTTCAGAAGTTTGAACATGCAGCTGAAGAAGAGGACTCCTTTTCCATGGAGTCATTTAATGAAGAGCATTTTGGGGGTACAGCAGCTTCTTCAATGTCTTGCCTTTTGAGGGTAGGGCAGACACTAATGAAGCGTGAGCACATTCAACAAATTCACAGGAGCAGCTGAAAAGCTGGAAGGTGGATTGGGAACAATTCTCTTTTGCCACAGATAGTGAAGCAGAACACATCGAGACAATGTAAATCATTCATAGCTGGCACTGGTAAAGTGTGTGTGCGTGTCTGTGTGTGAAGGGGAAGGTCTTATACCCAAGGAGAAGCCAGGCCATCTGGTCAGTAAGAGAGTAGTCCTCTTCCAAGCCAAGAGGTATTAAGGCAACAAGTTCCCAGGAACCAGGCAAGAAATACTCCATGGTAATATAACTCTACTGCTCCTCTGCCCAGAGATGCCCCACGATATCTTCATTAGATTGCGTAGAAGAGTGGAAAGGATAAGATGGCTCCTAAAGCCAGACCCAAGGAGAGGAAGAAGGCCATGATGGCTCCAGCAGTTTCCGCTTCATGAGACAGCACCTTCCTAGAAGGAAAAACAAAAATTAGTCAGCACAACGTCCATCCATCCAAATACCAGTTGCTTTTCCTTCTTTACAATTCATTCATCTCAAGCCACACTTACTTGGGTCCAAAGCACATGCAGAGGCTGGCCAAGTAACCATTGGAGATGGAAAACAACAGCATGAAGCTGAGGTACCAGGCATCGTGAGCAAAGATGACAGGCAGGTTATGGCGGGGCTGCACGTTACACAGCATGAAGAGGGGAATGAAAATCAGACGGATAATCACCAGGAAGGGTAACAAGCGGCTCTCTTTTCCAGGCTGTGGGAAGGGAAGAACAAGAATAATATATTATGATATCAACATTAGACATCACTGTGATAAAAAGAAGACTGGAAAATTATATCATGAACACAACTCCACAAAAATTTGTCCTTATTGCTTAAATGTCTTCTCTGCCCCAGTGTAACAAATAAATGCTACTAAGATATATATATTGACAATTCATTGCTGTAGATGAAATGTAGATTTCCCCTTTCAGTTCTGTAATTAATAATTTTGTTATGTTCAAAAGACCCACAGTTCTTAGTGTCTTGATGATAAGAGGTACAGCTAAGATGTTATCTTTAACAGACGATAAAACAGGAGTCATATTAATGCTTACCAAGAATGTGGCAATAATAGGACATATTCATGTTTTAACACCTAAACTGCATTGTCAAGAACAAAGCAACTCTTAAGTAACTCTTAACCATTTTTATGTGAGATATCCAGTATACATAAAATACTTTTTTTTCTTAGCCTCCTTTAAAAAATCATAGCTGTTTATTTTCACAAGATTTAGAGCAGCTCTCCAACAACTAATCTGGATAGAACATTCAAGCTTTATATTCAGAAGATGCAGAAGTAGCTTACTTCTAGGGAATTTTCACTAACAAATTATAATTACCTATTGGGAAAGGTTTATCACTCGGCATTTATTGTAGCTGCCATTAGCGATGGCACTAAGAGACTTTCAGAATTTACTTTCTCTATATCCTTGACTTGAGCATTATAACTTGATCCATTACTACTTGATCCAAATCCCTGCAAGTATTGGAATCACCTGGAACCCTGCATGTAATGCCACATGCTGCAGATGGAAAACACTGAGCTGCTTTACCCAGGAAAAGCTTGCACAACAGGAGGTAAATGTTTTCTGAGTAAATTGGGCTTCTTGTAATATTATTACATTTGAGGAATGCAATTCTGAGGAAGCCGTTTCTAGGTGTTTTTTGTAACTGAAAAGCCAGTTTGGTTTACCTCAGACTGCTGGTTAGCAGTTTACTCAAGTCAGTCATTTTTTACTTAATAAAACAGATTAAGTAACATCCAAATGATTCACAGCCATTGAAAGATTAAATTAAAGCTCCTAGGCCATAAGATGCCTTGAGTTAGTGGATGCAGGTAATCCATCACTTATGATTGGTTGTTCAGCAACTGTTTGAAGTCATGATGGATCCCATCAAATATACTTATGATGTCTGCCTCTCCACCCATGGTCATGTGACTGCATTAACGATGCTTAGAAATAGCATTTAGAGCTGTTTACAATGTCCCACAGTAACATGAATGTGATTTATGATGTTTTTGCCAAAAACTGATGTTTACTTCCAGTTTTCAGCAAAAACGCCCCCTAGTGAACAGTGGGTCTGCTTAATGACCACCACACTTGGTTTATAACCGCTGTATTTGCTTAATAACGGCCCACAACAAAGGTTGTAAAATCAGTTCCAGTCACAAGATGAAATGACCATTATGATTTACGACCATAATGGGCAGGCCCCATTTCAATTGTACATCAAGGACTACCTGTAATATATTTATCTGGTTTTTACACCAACAGGAGATTGTGTGGAATTGTTTGGCAAGGACTTCACATGCTATATCAGTGTTTCTCAGCCTTGGTAGCTTGAAGATGGGTGGACTTCACTGGCTGGGGGATTCTGGGAGTTGAAATCCACCCATCTTCAAGCTTCCAAGGTTGAGAAACAGTGTGCTATATACTTTTTTTTATCACAGTGATCGTAACTTTAAGAAATATCTAAACTAGGAGAGCAGAAGCTAATATTTTAAGATTAGGGACATGTTTTCACTGATCACCACACAATCAATACTCGTTTACTTTGATCTCAATCCGTTCATATTTCTGGCTTGGAAATAATTTTTCTACCTGGAGAGAGTTGGGTCTTGTGTTTGCCTGTGTGTAGAAAAGTAAGTGCAAGTGGAGTTTTCTTATGCTGGGGCAACAACAGAATTGGAAAGGAAGCATTCTGTGGAGGGAGGCCATTATTTTGAATGCTTCTCCAGATTTTATTCTGCAATTACCGGTACATGTGCATTAAGGAGAGAGGCGGTAGCTTAATATACTCCTATTATTTTGGCTTCTTTTTACATGACGTTTTTCCAAGGTGGGCATTCAAATGAGATCTATCACTTGAGATCAAAATTCTGGAATCATTCTATCATCTCTTCCCTTTGCCAACTCACTGTGCTGCAGGCCTCAACCAGAATTCAACTTCGTTACACGGAGATCTTCTGATTAAAAAAAAAACCACATCAGAAAGTACTTGAAAGTGATGAGAGTTACTGTCTTTGATCAGAAAGGAAAACAAGAGATATGGCCCATGCAGTTTTGTTTGTTTCTCTAAGTATCAATAAGGAAAAAATAATAATATGCAGAGTGAAAACATGATGAGGGATTTTCTCTGACTAGACACAAAAGGACATATCTGTTCTATTTATATGATGTCATGGTTAAATTTTATTATTATTTTATTAACTGAATTTAGAAGCCTGCCCAACCAACATGATATTTATATTTAGGGAAGAATATTTTAAAAGGTTCTTCTCCTAAATTGCAATATATTATTATTCTTTGTGAGAAATAATCTGAAAGTTCCCTTTGCACAAGGTTTCACTCTCTTTCTCAACTGTATGTGTGTGAAGGGAAAAGTTTGAACAGTTTTTACAAATACTAATATTTATTGTGCGGTATTTAGTTTGTTAATCTGTTTTTACTGATTTACGGCGTTATGTTTCAAGAAGTACTTTTAGTACACTATATAATTCAGATTATAAATCAGAAAAGAGTTTTTTCCTCATGCGTTCTTGGACTTTGGAGGGCTGCAGAGCTGGGTCTCCCAGACAAAATACCATTGGCCACATCCTATAATCATAGAGGCCTTGTAGGAGGAGCTGTGCTGGCTCCTGGGTAGAGGTTAGACCAGGGAGTTGCAGATTGTGGCTTTCTTGTCTTCATTCATTATATGCTTCCTTCAGATCTACTTCCTCCACAGCCACTCTCCTCTATATTTGAACAAAAATTACTGATTGAAAGAACAGCTGTTTTTTGTTTCTGGGTCACTGTCAGACAAAACACTGAACAATCATTCCACAAAACCAGTAATGAACCAATCGGAAGGGCGAAAATAATCCTATAAAAAAACACACCAGCTGTAAACAAATGGGATACTATAAAAAACATGTCCTTTCATCAACTCTGGCAAATGGTCGGTGCAACCATTACATAATTTCTCACTCAGAACTTCAGAGGACTTGTTAACCTGTCTCCTTGCCCCTATGCAGATCACATCCCAGCTCATTCTGCTAAAAAAAGTATTTCTGGCATGGTTAGCATCAAGTTAAACTGTAGTTTAAATCTGAACATTAAATCTGAGAATCCTCTTCAGGATATGTCAGAACTGGAGCCCTTTCTGAATTCAGATCCCCTGCTTCATCAGTAAGCTGTTGGAAAAGGCCACAGTTTACTGATAAAACATGTGATTTAAAATTTTGAAAGTTCCTGTTTTACCTGAAGCCTTAGAAACTTATAGCCAGTCAAAGTAGATTTGTTAACAACTGCTATGAATCTCTAGGACAGAGGTCTTCAAACTTGGCATAGCTGGCTGAAGAATTCTGGGAGTTGAAGTCCACAAGTCTTAAAGCTGCCAAGTTTGAAGACCTCTGCTCTAGGATCGCAAAGGTATAATTTAACATCTTTTGGGATACCTGCTTTAGTCACTGGAGCTCCCTCCAAGGATCAGCTGTGCTTTTGAAGCTGTTTTTCAGCCCCAACACAAGCGAAGCAATCTTCCGTGCTTTGCCTGCTTTTCTAATTGTTGCTCCCTTCAACAATCAGCTGTGCTTTAGAAGCACAGCCCCAACCAGCTCCAACCTCAAAACCAGTGAGCAAACTAATGTGCTGGAACTAGCCAGATGAATACCTGGTAGGCAGAATTCCCCCCCCCCATTTTCTTCCCCAAAAACTAAGGTATGTCTTATACTCCGAAAAATATGGTAATTACTTAAATGGAGTAGAAATAAAACGATTCTTATCGTCTCACTGAAATGTCCCAATTTCCCCCCCCACCCAAAAAAAAAAAAAAAGAAAAAAGAAGTTTCTCCAGAAACAGAGTGACATAGCCAAACATATCCCAGATTGTTAGTTCCAATTTAACTCAGAAATTTTCACTGGAAGGGCAATGAGACTTCTGAGAACAGAATGAGACTTTCTGAGGTTTTGCTTGGTTGCAAAAATAGCCCTATTCCCCTTGGAGCTGGATAATCAGAGACTCACTTTAGATGTTAAAGTGGATGAAAAGGCCTCTCTCCCCTTCCTTCCAAATGCATGTTGTGGCAGACATACAATATAAGACTTTTTGCCAGGGAGAAAAAGCAGCAGGAAGAAGTGCCAGACCGAGGAAAGGAAGGATCTGTGTGGCTCATCAGCCTCAAACCACCCACCCGTCATCTGTGTGGAGTCAAACTTTCCACAAAGAAAATTTGGTAAACATATTTTCTGCACACCCACCCATCGTTCTCATTGGGATAAGCCTGAGAGGCTGGGCAGGAGGGAAAACAGCCAACATAACCTATCCCAATACAAAAGGTGAAACTGGAACTGGGATGGGTTTCCTGCTGAGGTTTACTGACTTAAATGAGTTGCCCTATTGCTGTACCCTGCAACCTTAATCAAGCAATCTTACTAATATTATGCTGAAGCTATTGGCGTGAAAGGTAAGGGCTGGCATAATGTTTCAAATGCTGAGGTGAAATGTACAATGATAGATGTACATCTACCATTGTACATAAATGGTGAGGAGGTGGAGAGGGTGGGTAGTTTTAAATTTCTGGGCACTTATATCTCGAAGGACCTCTCATGGACTATGAATGCTAACATGCTTGTGAAGAAGGTACAGAAGAGGCTGTACCTCCTGAGAATGCTCAGGAAGATAAATCTATCTCAGCATCTACTTCTGTCCTACTATCGCAGCACCATTGAGTGTCCTGACATACGGCATTCTTGCATGGTATGAGAGCAGCTCTGTAGTGGACAAAAAAGCTCTACAGAGAATCATTAAAACTGCCCAGAATATCATCGGACTCCAGCTACCAGCCCTGGACGACATCTTGCTGTTTGAGGAAGTTGCATAACATTCTCAGAGACTCTTCCCATTCTGCTTACAATCTTTTTGGACTGTTGCCTTCTGGCAGAAGATACAGAACAATTAAAACTCGGACCACACATTTTCTGAATAGTTTTTTATCCCAGAGCTATAATTGCACTCAACAATGAACTAAAGGGCCACCATCAGTGAGCTGTTGGACAGTATTACTTGTGTGGATGTTTGGGTGGTTTAGGGGTGGGGAACTGTGGTGGGTGGGAGTGTGTTTGGGGATTATTATGTGTGTTGGACCTGGTCTTTGGGTGTTAAGTGAATTTTGTTGTATGGGTATACTGTGTATACACGTACAATGACAATAAAGTTATAATAAAATAGTGGGGAGATGTATTTCTCCCAGCCCCCATAAGAAAGGTTTTTGGCTCTTTTATACTCATTCAAGATCTTGGGTGGTTCTGTAATATTTCTTTTTCAGCCCTTCAACTGTATACTACCCCTCTGCTGTGCCAGATGGATTGCAAATTGTAAATAGTGAGTGCGGGATTACTGACTAGACAATTTAAAGTGCAGTCACCGTATAGGAGGTAAAAGATGACAGAAAAAAAAAAACCAGGCTGTGTTATTTGGACAAGGCAAACTAATCTGTCATCCCTGCATTTTTTTTCTTCCTTCCATTGTCACGCATGTGACTAGTTAATTAGACTACCAGATTTACTTTTTTCCATTAATCATTTTTCTTTACTGCCTGCTTGAAGTATTTTCCTTCTCCCTCATTCCTTCTTAGGCTCCTTTTTTTATGATTCCCAGTGATTTGTCAGCTTAAGACTTCTCTCCACAGTTAAGGTGACTTTTTGTGGCACCTTTACTGTAGAAAAATTACCCGTGTGAGATTCGCTCATTATTCAGATTTTTTTTGTTTACTAATAAAAAAACTTGAAAATCTGTCTCCTGCCTTTTCTTACTTTTTTGCTGCTGTGTTGCAGTATGAGTATATAATGGCCATTAGCATTTGTCATTCAAAGGTAAATTCAGAATATTCTACCATCCTTATTTATGGAGCTTCTATGCCATTGCCAGATCAGTCTTCTTTTCTTTATAACAATAGCAATAGCACTTAGACTTATATGCCTCTTCACAGTGCTTTACAGCCCCTCTCTAAACAGTTTACAGAGTCAGCATATTGCCCTCAACTATCTGGGTCCTCATTTAGCCACCTCAGAAGAATGGAAGGCTGAGTCAACCTTGAGCCTTGTGAGATTCGATCTGCCAAATTGCAGGCTGCCAGCAGTCAGCAGAAGTAGCCTGCAGTACTGCATTCTAACCACTATGCCACCACGGCTCTTTATATCTCATATATAAGCAATAAACAGGATTAAGCAATTTAGCCAAGCTTTTCTGAAATGGCTTCAGCAGAATCAGTGTGTCTTTAATATGTTTCCTTCTTCAATGTATATAGTTGTGACATCAATTGCTCCAATTGTGGAAGAACTGAACAAAAAATACCATTCTTCTTCAGAGCCTTCTGTATTTTTTCCTCAGAACTGTTTCACAAAAGTACCTTTTTTCTTGATCCTAGCTCAGAAGACACATCTGAACTTTAAGAAGGGTGGATTAGTGGAGTACCATAAATGCTTGGTTTCCCTATACTCACCCAAACACAGACAGCTGTGAGGCTCCTTCCTGCCCAGTCAAAGATGTTAAACATCAGGAAACAAGCAACTGGGCTGAAATAGGAAACTGAAGAGAGAGTAATAGAGAAGTGTGGTCAGTCTTAGGGCAAGAACTCTGTCTGCTGTAGTGTCCAATGGGGCAATATTGAGATGACTTTAGCTAGACAAATAGTACATAGTCCTCTTTTCCATCTTCCTCAAACAGATAATAATAACGACACAGGAAGCTGTGAGGGATTTTTACCAAGTCATTATTGAAGCACTTGTGAATCTATTTCTCTAAGTAAACATAACAGAATCCTGAAATCTGAGTTTGCACTTTAGGTCTGATGAAGGAGAAGACTCTGAGGACAGACATGAGACTAAAACAGCATCTTACATACAGATCTGAGTAGTCTAACAATTCCTTTTAAACTTTTCTTTTGGTTTGATCTATTCTAGAAAGTCAATCTTCAAAGCCTGCTCTGTTTTCAAAAAGAAGTGTGATCAATAGTTTCTCAATAATGATTTTTTCCCCAACAGTTTTATACCAATCTTAATTCTTCTTCAATTCTAGTCTGGATTATTATTACTTCTCTAGTCTATTTGGGTCCATCATCACAATGCTCAATTAATGTCATACGGTGATCATGATGTTTAATTCTTTTTTAAATCCTTCCTTACTATTAAGGACTAGAGCACTAAAATGTATGGACAGTGCAAAATAAAATAAAATAAACAATAAAGTATCTATATAGTCTGTTGCGGGATAATAAATGACATAAATGTACATGGATGTGGGAAGAGCAACGCCCCCAAAACAGGAAAACAAACAAATTGTGTCTTAATCGGATATGGAAAATTAAATAGAGTCTATTTAGTTTTCAGTTCTTTCCTAACTACTTTGTCACACACCCTATCCTTCTCTTTCAGGTCTTCCCACTCTCCAGACTAAATTCGCCCACACTTCATCATCTTTACTCATAGTGAGGCTCCTTCAAAAGCAGATGGCAAATAAAGTTAAGGCTAAGCAGACTGCCAGGAGACATTCTGTAAACTGATCTAGGCTTTCCAGAGGAAGTCTGGGTTACAAGAGAAACTGTTTGTGAACTCTAAGCACATCTCTGTAATCTTGCCATACCTTTGACTTACAATGTGATCTGAACTTCATATAGTTTCTATTAACAGATTCCAAGATTCTACTTAAATTAAGAAAAAGTGGTATGCATACCAAGACTACCTGGATATGTCAACTGGCTATTGGAACGATATGCTGGGGCACAAGATGGAAAATGGGATTTTCATTATTTGGACACATGACAAGTTAGCGAAAACAAAAATAAAAATACTTCTTCTCAACTGCGAAGGAAGCCATGTGAGTATCATGCTTGGGGACAACTTTACAGCCTCAGGATCTAGATGGATCACAATGAGAGATGCCAACAATGGATTTTGGATTGTATTAACAAACTGCCCAGGAAATATCAGAAACCTGTCCACGAGCTGAAGCTTAAATAAATGTGGGCCTTGAATCACAACAGTAATCTTAAGCAACACACAAATGCATCTAGAGCAGAAAGGCCAGTCGAAGCAGAATAAATTTAATGTTTTGGAATGGATGAGTCAAAACCCTGACATGACCCAACTGAAATGGTGTGATATGAAATGTTGTGAGAATTCAATCTCCAAACGTCAATGAACTGAAGCAGGTCCATAAATGTCTTCCTTTGTTTGATCTTTGTTTTGTGGGATTTAGATAGAGTTCAGATTACACTGTCATAGGATTGCAGATAGTTCTAAAAGATTCCCAAGCTGTCTCATCATTGTGCACCTCCTTAATCACTTCTAAGAACCAAGTTTAACTTACCCCAACGTGTATTTTTTCCAATAGTTGGCTTTACTGCAACAGTGACAGCTGGGAAGACTCCGATTGTAACAGTAAAAACTAAGCAGACAGAAACAGCCATAACCCATATCTAGGAAAGAGAACATATATGCAAAGGCAAATTAGTAAAGGCAAAGGTTTCCCTGCCAGTTGTGTCTGACTCTGGGGCATGGTGCTCATCTCTGTTTCTTGGCCGAGGGAGTCAGCATTGTCCGAAGACGTCTTCTGTGGTTAATGTGGCCAGCATGGCTATTCGCCCAAGGTGCAGGGAACACTTTTATCTTCCCACCAGAACAATACTTATTAATCTACCTGCATTTACATGTGTTCAAACTGTAAAGTGGACAGAAACTGGGACAGGAATGAGAGCTCATCCTGTTGTGTGGTGCTCGGGTCTCGAAACCGGGCAGTCATTTTTCCAGCCCAGCTGACAATCTCAGCATCTTTAACCACCATGCTCCCTATTATTGTATTTGCAAAGGCAAATACAATCATAGAATTCCAGATAACAGTTTTAAACAAACAAACAAACAAACAAACAAACACAGAAGCAGAATATTAGGGTGTGAAAAGAAAACCCACACCTAGGCCCAATCCATAGGTCAAGTACCTTTTTGAAGATGCCAAGGACTGAAGATCTGTGGGTGGAGGCAAGGGGATCTCCATTCCTAGAGTGGTTTCGTTCAACACCATTAACCACATCTGTGGACAGATGAAAAGGACAAGTTGGACAAATGAACTTTTAATACATATATTTTGCAGAAACTAGGACTGCACATTATTATTGAACCAGTACTATATCTTTTTCCCTGGCCTCATTCCAGTCCTGTACCTGATTTAAAAGACCAATTTTATGCTATAATGCTTCATAATTCAGGGCCACAGTATCTGAAGAAGAGCCTCTTCTCCTATATTCCTGCCCACATCTTATGTGTCAATGAGGTCTGTGCTCCAAGTGCCTTTACATTCTGAACTGCAAGTCACTTTGTCTGAATAGTCCTCAGTCATGAAATGTTCTTTCCAGAGACACTGGCCAGGAATCAATTTGGTGAAAGGCCAAGATGTTTTCTGCCCAGAGGTTTCTTAAATGCTTCTACAGGAATTGCTATTTTAAAGTGGTTTTATCTGCATGGAACTGTTTTAGTCACTGCTGCCTGTGGCATTTTAGCCCTTGCTGTTTTGTATATGAATACTTATGAAAAAAATATTTTGAATTGTTGACAGCAGAAATCAGAATGAAATGTTTAGTTCCGTGGAGAATATAAGGGAAATTTAACGAGAACAGACAGTTGTAAAATCTATTATGGCATTTCAATAAATTGTTTTTCTCAAAATGTGTTTTTGAGAGATTGCCTAAATAAACAAGAGCTCATTTTTTTAAATCGCTGGCTTTCTAGACTGGTGGGTATTCAAAGGTCAGTACATCTCTTCTCACATACGATCTTTTAAAGACAATAGCAAAGGCTAGAAAATAAAAAAATTGCTCAGTGGCTGCTGGCAGCTGATTTCTCTGGAGAGCCTTAGATGAAACAATTACTGATAGAAAATTGTATAAATAATCCCATGCTAGGCCATCAATATGTGTTGTTGTGGATGAAGACCATGGGTTTTATTTTAACTTGCTAACTTGGGAAGAAATTAGAAGACAATAAGGGAATAAAGAGAATAAAAATAGGCTATCATTTTTTTAATTGCCTTGAAGTTCTGATGAGGACCCCACATGTATTAAATTAGAGATTTGCTACCTTTAAGCCTCGATAGATGCCTGATTTACAGTTTCCAGCATCCCTTACCATTGGTTGCAATATTATTTCTAACCTGTGAATGTCTGGTATAGCACTTATTTTCACCCTGCATTTATGGACATGAATACAATCCCCTCCTTCTTTCCATGCTCTAGTTTTTACCTTTCCTGATGAGATCAACTTTTGTTTCCATCTCAGCCTGAGTCACAGAAGTTGCATATTCTCTCTTATTCTTCATCGAATAAAAGCAGAAAAAATCCTGGGGAAATATTAACATACTATTTCAATGGGAACTCTTCTGAAACAAGCTGAGTACCTTCTCAATTAATCGTGGACTGAATGAAGAACCCAGCAATCTTTGCACAATGGTGCTTGCATGTCAGGACTCTCCCACACTTGCCCACTCCCTCAGCATACTCAGGGCTGTTTTCAGAAAAAACAACCTTACCAGACGAGGCAACATGATATAGGAGCCAATAGCTATCAGGACCACAACACAGGCAGTGATGAAGTAACCAAAGGCACTTTCTTTTAGTTCGGAACCAGCTGAAAAAGATTTAGAGAAAAGTGGCAATTCTTTCCTTAGTGATGGGTGGCTCTGAGCAAACTTCTTGCTCTCTGAAATATTAGCCTGTAAGTGATGTACAGCTCTACATCAATATTACAGAGAGAGATAATGTATACCCCGCCTTGGTTGCTTTACGGATTGAAAGGTGTAGCATAAACCAAAACAATAAAGCAATATGTAATACTCACTAGCAATAGCACAGATCATAGCTACTGCTGCGAATGTCCCTGCAAGGCCCTGCCCGCTCATAATAGGTGCCGTGTAACTGGCGGGAAGGAGCCCTGCCAATCCAAAAAGGCTGCCTTGGAGAATGGCCCCAAAGGCTGTCAAAAAAAGAAAGGGGAAAAAAAGACAAAACCATTTAAAGGGGAATTGCAAAGAGATCTTATCCACAGAAAGTAAGCACTATAAAATTTATTGGTTCGATTTATATGCCGTCCTTCTCCGGAGACTCAGGGCGGCTTACAATGCATTAAGCAATAGCCTTCATACTTTTGTATATACCTGCTTAGTAGGGCTTTCGCCCCCCCCCCAAGCGGTGTTCTTTTTTATACAAAGTCAGCTTATTGCCCCCACAAACCGGGTCCTCATCTTACCTACCTCGGAAGGATGGAAGGCTGAGTCAACCTTGAGCCTGGTGAGATTTGAACTTGCAGTAATTGCAGGCAGCTGGTGTTACTTAACAACACTTTAGTCTGCTGCGCCACCAAGGCTCTTCCTCAAAATGAACTCAAGGCCAAAGGACAGGTTGTAACTTAGATCACCAGGGGTGAAATGCTCCCAGGTCTGACTGGATCGCCTGATCTGGTAGCGATGGCAGTGGGTGGTTTGGAGAATCGGTAGCAAAAATCCCTGCGCCCCCCCCCACATGCCCAGCTGAGCCGCGCGATCATCAGAGGCTTTTTCTTTTACTTTTAAAATCATTTTTTCTACAACCTCTTCAGCCAAAAAAATGCTTTTAAAAGAAAAAAAAAGCCTCTAATGATTGCATGGCTCAGCTGGGATCGTCAGAGGCTTTTAAACGCATTTTTTCTGCAACCTCTTTGGCTGAAGAGGTTGTAGAAAAAATGCTTTTAAAAGTAAAAAAAAAAAAGTTGGCCATGCCCACCCAGTCACATTATCACCACCACCCCAAGCCATGCTCACAGAACTGGTAGTAACAAATTTTACATTTCACCACTGGCGTGCACGCTATGTTGATCATTGATGGGAAATGTTTCTATCTGCTCTTGCCCATTCTCCCACTGCCAAAAGTTGAATCTGCAAGAATTACATTCATCCCACTTCAACACCCTAACAAAGTGCTTAGTGCTAAAAAAAATGTTTACATTCTCAAATACAGGTAAGGCTGAAGTACTGCACATCAGAGACAGAACATGTTTATCTATAAGTGTATACATATACAGTATCTGTGAGAATAGAAAAGGCGTGGTCGCTTTAATAATTCATAAATGTTCACAGATACATACATACACTCATACACTCACATACACACAACCGAACTTCACTTACAATTTATGAAGACTATCTTGACCATAGTAATGATGAAAAAAGTCAAAGGCTCCATTTCGACCTTGACTAGGATCACTGTTACCATGAAGACCAAGAAGATGGCAACCAAACTAGATATGATCCGTATTTGCTGAGGGATCCTAACAAATGGAAAAAGATAAAGGTTAAAAACCTCTTGCCTTTCTAAAATCATAATAAAATCCAATTACAGAATAACAGAGTCGGAAGGGACCTCGGAGGTCTTCTAGTCGAACGCCCTGCTCAGGCAGGAAACCATATACCATGTCAGACAAATGGTTGTCTTCTTAAAAACTTTCAGAGTTGGAGCATTCACAACTTCTGGAGGCAAGTTGTTCCACTGATTAATTGTTCTAATTGTCAGGAAATTTCTTCTTAATTTTAGGTTGCATCTCTCCTTGATTAGCTTCCACCCATTGCTTCTTCTCCTGACCTTATGTGCTTTGGAGAATAGCTTGACTCCTTCTTCTTAGGTCTATTGAGATATAACTTCAACCAATGAATAACCTGTTTTTAGATGTGTAATCACAATCTGAAATAGCTTTTCTCAACCTGTGCATCCTTCAAATGTGTGCTCTTCAGACTGCTCAACAATGATTATACTTCAAGGAGTTAAAGTTCACACATCTAGAAACACTCAGATTGGGGAGCTATCTAGACTGACTATGTTGAATTTGTGAACATAAATGAAGAAATTTTATGTATCTATAAATTATCTGTTGCATTGTGGTTCAGTTATAAGCAGTTGTTCCAGGGGTGAAATGCTACGGGTTCGGACCCGTATCGCCCGATCCGGTAGCGAGGGCAGTGGGGTGGTTTGGAGAACTGGTAGCAAAAATCCCTGCCCGCCCCCCCCCCCCCCCCGCTGAGCAGCATGATCATCAGAGGCTTTTTTTTTTTTTTTTACTTTTAACAGCATTTTTTCTACAACTTCTTCCGCCGAAAAAATGTTTTTAAAAGTAAAAAAAAAAGCCTCTGATGATCGCGCGGCTCAGCTGGGAACGTCAGAGTCTTTTCAAAGCATTTTTAAACCACCTCTTCCCCAGAAGAGGTTGCAGAAAAAAATGCTTTAAAAGTCTCTCTGACGATCAGGCAACTCAGCTGGGATCATCAGAGAGACTTTTAAAGCATTTTTTTCTGCAACCTCTTCAGCGGAAGAGGTGGTTAAAAAAATGCTTTGAAATGGCTCTGAGAATCCCAGCTGTGTTGCCTGATTGGCAGAGCCTTTTCAAAGCATTTTTTTGCATTTGCAGAAAAAATGCTTTGAAAAGTAAAAAAAAAAAAAAGTTGGCCACGCCCACCCAGTCACATTACACCCCCCCCACCAAGCCACGCCCACAGAACCGGTATTAACAAATTTTACATTTCACCCCTGAGTTGTTCCATGTATGTAAAACAAAAAATAACATGTTGCAAAACTGAAATGATTATGTACTTCAAAAACCGAAAGACAATACAGCAAAATGAAACAATTTATTTTTGCTTTTAGGTACTGTATTCCTAAAACTGTTCTGGATTAATTTATGGAAATAACTCAAATGCTTGGAGTATCATCATAAATATCTAAAACTGATTTGTCTTTGCAGAATAGAAAATAAAGTTCTTTTCCTTCTGAATGCTGCCATTGTGCTGGGAATCAAAGGACTTGGAGCAATTGAAGTCTGGAATTTTCATTTTGGAAAATCTATGAAGATCATACCTCTGGTGGATAAAAGAGTTAAGGCAGGTGAAGATGAGTAGAGGCAACATGGCACATAATGTCATCACATTATTAAATATGGACTGCAGGTATGAGAGAGGAACTTCCTTCTTCCCTGTGCCAGTCACATTAGTAAGATTGTAAGAGTCCTGCAAGTGATTAGAAAGGGGTTATCATCATCATCATCATCATCATCATCATCATCATCTTCTTCATCATCATATAACATAGTTAACCAATTAGATTAGATTTGGCATTTCTATCTATCTACTGAGTCCTTCCCAACGACCTAAGATAGGGAAATGTTCTAGGCAGTATTGTTGCAAGATGTAAGATGTTCCAAGCAAAGCTGCCTATTGCAATTGACTGTTGGCAATTTTGTCAATGCTGATGGTGTTCAAGTGTGCTCCAGATGTTTAGGGATTACACTCAAGACACCTATTGGTACCTATATTTGCCTTCTTTTGCCATAGTCATTCTACTTCTATTTGCAGGTCTTTTTCTTTCTGTAATTTCTGACAAGTTATTTCTCTTGTATTCTGCTGGCTCCAGATACTACAATGTCTCCTTTCCAGACTGCCTTTCTTTTTCATTGACAATTTAATTTAACTATTATTATTATTTTAAAATTTATATGATCGCTCTTCTCATAAAGTGACTCTAAGAGTCTAACACAATATGAACATCAAAACAGCGTGAATAATTAAAACAATAAAAACACGTTAAAAAATAAAAAGCAGAAAGTCACAGTCAAGGGTAAATCCACAAACAAGAAATTCATGCATTTCATGAGTTCTATTACCTTCCGACTGGGAAAACACCAAGGTCTTAAGAGTTTTACAGAAAACCAGCAGGATCAAGGCCGATCTAATCTCAGGTGGCATGGTGTTCTAACGGGGAGGCATTGCAACTAAGAAAGCATAGGATCAGAGGTGCTGGGGGTTCGCAGGGGTTCAGGAGAACCTCAAGCTAAGATTCTGTGCAGTTTGGAGAACCCCTAAATCCCACTCCTGGCTGGCCCTGCCCACCCCTCTCCTGAGTCCCCACACGGCCTGTTTTGGATGCAGGTAAGTGCAGGGCACGCACAGAGACTCGGGGAGGGCGAAAAATTGGCCTACTGGAAGTTTGGGAAGGCTGGAAACAGGTCTGCAGAGAGCCTCTGGAGCCTGGGGAGGCTGTTTTCGCTCTCCCGGAGGCTCAAGGAAAGCCTCCGGAGCCCTGGGAAGGCAAAAACGCCCCACTCCCTCCTTGTGGTGAAGGAGGCCAACTAGGCCACACCCACCATGGTCACGCCCACTCAGCAACCGGGCAGAGAACCCCTTGCTAAAATTTTTGAAGTCCTCCCCTGCACAGAATCCTCTTTAATGATCAGGATGTATAACCATTCTTCTGGATTTGATGGAGTGGGTAAAAACAACCAGTTAGAGATAGTTCTTCAAATATAGTGCAGCTTGGGCAGCAAAGGTGTAATGTGGGTATACCGATATGCCCTAACAATTTGTATTGCTGCATTCTGGACTAATTGCAGCTTCTGGATGTTCTTCAAGGTTAACTCCATGTAAAGCACAATGCAGTATCCACTGGGGGCGGGGGTGGATAGGGGGCAGAGTATAAGTGGCCATGTATGGTGCCACTGTATATAGGAAGGGGCACAACTGGTAACAATATAAAGTTGTGCAAAAGCTCTCCAGGTCATGTCAGCCAGCAGTTCCTGCCATGAATCCAGAAGGAGTCCCAGATTGCACACCAATTCTGTCTGGGGTAATGCAATCCCATCTAGAACTAAAGATGGAAAATCACCAGATCCAGGGTACTCTAAAACCCAAAGTCATCCAGTCTTTCAAGGGTTTAGATCAGGGGTGAAATCCAGCAAGTTCTGACAGGTTCGGGAGAACCGATAGTGGAAATTTTGAGTAGTTCGGAGAACTGGCAAATGCCACCTCTGGCTGGCCCCAGAATAGGGTGGGAATGGAGATTTTGCAATATCCTTCCCCCAGGAGTAGGGGAGGAATGGGGATTTTGCAGTATCCTTCCCCTGCCACACCCACCAAGCCACACCATGCCCACCAAGCCACGGCCACAGAACCGGTAGTAAAAAAATTTGGATTTCACCACTGGTTTAGATGAAGCTTCTTGTTCCCCCATTCAGAACCCTCCTCCCCACCCCCAAACTTCCAGACGTGAGACAGAATCTTCACTACATCATTTGGTTGGCCAGGGGAGAGATGTACAACTAGGTATCATTAGCATACTGATGACATTTCACCCTCTACCACTGAATTATCTCATCCAGCAGTTTCATGTAGATGTTTGTTAAATAAGAGTGAGGAGTGAGTGCATTGGGCCCTAAGGAAATGCACAAAGGAGGACTCAAACTCCCCAGACCCCCTCAACACCAACTGAATCTGATCCCTGAGGGAAGGAGGGGGACCATCCCAAGACTGTGCCCCCAACTCCCAACCCCAAAACTAACCCAGAAGGCTCCCATGATTAATGGCATCAAAAGATGATGAAAGAGCAAGAAGATCAATAAAGATATTGATATCAATGCTGCTTTGGTTCCAAACCGGTACCTGAACCCCGACTGAAAGGGTGCTAGATAGTCCATTTCCTGCAGAGCTTTCTGAACCTGCAGCATGAGCACTGTGACAAATGTGTGCAGACTTAAAGAAAGATGCTTGTATCTATCTCATGAACAAAAGGAACTACAACCGTGATGGCTACCAAACAGCTTGGAACCCCTGACCCATTTCAATTACCTGCCCTAATGGAGGGATTCAAAACCAAGCACAGCTGCTTCGCACAATTCACAAACACTTGGTTGAATGAAAATGTTTGAGAAAAACTACCTCTGTTCCTGTGACGTTCACATTGGCATGGGAATCCAACAATGATATGTTGCTGTGAGAATCCTTCAGGCGGTCGATAAAGTACTACAGGAAACAAATTGGTCAGACAAAGCAATGAAGGAAACCAACAAAAGGAACTACAACCGTGATGGCGAACCTATGGCACGCGTGCCGCAGGTGGCACATGGAGCCATATCAGTGGGCACGTGAGCTCAGCTCCGCCAGCTGATTTTCGGGCCTTCTGGGCCCACCGGAAGTCAGGAAAAAGGCTGTTTCCGGCCTCCGGAGGGCCTCCGGGGAGTGGGGAAGGACCATTGTTTGCTCTCCCCAGGCTCCAGAGCCTTTCTAGGAACCTGGGGAGGATGAAAAATGGCCTTCCCCACCCCCCCAGAGACCCTCTGGAGGCCGGAAGTCAGCAAACAGGCCGTTTCTGGCCTCTGGGGGGTGGTGGGGAAGGCCGTTTTCACCCTTCCCAGGCTCCTAGAAAGGCTCTGGAACTTGGGGAGAGTGAAAAATGGGACTGGGACCATCGTGCCACCGCGTGGCAAAAGCGGGGGGAGTGCAGGGGGATCGCGTGCATGCGTGGGCGGGGTGGGGCACACAGAATTATGGGTGTGGGCACAAGAACATGCGCCCCCCCACATTCCCCCCCCCTTTTGGCACGCGATGACAAAAAGGTTAGCCATCACTGAACTACAACATTTAGGGGGGGAAACCAATGTAGGTCCTTGCTTTTACTCTACATTTTAATGGAATCTTTCCCAAGTATTTTAGAACGTTTTCCAAGAATCTTCCGTCACACTTTTTTCCTAGTTAAAAGTTAAAGGAATCTTTTTCTGTTATGTTCAAAACAGTTTCATGTATATTTATTGACTCTCCTTTTCCTCAGCCTCATAAATAGAAGCAAGCAACTTTTTTGAGACAGCAGCGTTGCACTTTGGCAAAGTGTAGCTGGACAGGGGTAGAACATCTGGAATTCTTCCATTTCCCAAATGCAATGCGGTAGAGTAGCAGCAGAAAATTCAAGAACAATTTTACTCTCAGTCTCAGGAAAAGGAAACTAATCATATATGGGCAAAAAATTAAGGAACAAAAGCTCCCCCGCTTTACAATGCTAAATACATATAATTTTTGAAAGCCTAGTCCCCCTTGCAGCTACCAAACAGCTTGGAACCCCTGACCCATTTCAATTACCTGCCCTAATGGAGGGATTCAAAACCAAGCACAGCTGCTTCGCACAATTCACAAACACTTGGTTGAATGCAAATGTTTGAGAGAAACTACCTCTTTTCCTGTGACGTTCACATTGGCATGGGAATCCAACAATGATATGTTGCTGTGAGAATCCTTCAGGCGGTCGATAAAGTACTACAGGAAACAAATTGGTCAGACAAAGCAATGAAGGAAACCAATTCCAACATCTAGCACTTTACTTTTATGTCCCAAGTAATTCACACAGAAGAATTCTGCCTTTCATGTGCAAGTATAAATAAGTCACATTTCTCCAGTACTTTTAATTGTTATGAAGATAGAAAATGGGCTAAAAATTATCAGTTACATAAATTGCATAGAGCAGGGGTGTCAAACTCAAGGTCCGGGGGCCGGATCTGGTCTGCGGGGTGCCCTGGAAACAGCGAAGGACCGGCCCGCAGTGCCTCTGCCAGCGAAAACAGAGTTCGGGAGAGCTCTGTGTGTGTGTGTGTGTGTGTGTATGGCACTCCCAAGCTCTGTTTTCGCTGGCAGAGTGCTCGGGCCATCACAGGTACCCTCCAACATGAGTGACGTCGAGCTAGCCATGCTCACCCAGCCATGCCCACCCCAGCCCCCAAGGTCAAACACGATTCTGATGCGGCCCTCAGTGAAATTCAGTTTGACATCCCTGGCATAGAGTAACAGAGAGTGGGTTAGTTGCACTGAACTCCCATTAAAATAAAAAGGATTACAGGTAGTCCTTGTCTTACGACCACAATTTAGCCTGACATTTCTGTGGCTAAGGCAGTTGTTAACTGAGTTTTGCCCCATTTTATGTCCTTTCTTGCCACAGTGGTTAAGTGGATCACTGTGGTTGTTAAGTAAATTTGGCTTCCTGATTGACTTTGCTCATCCGAAGTTTGCAAAAAGTGATCACCTGATCCCAGGACACTGCAATCGTCATAAATACGAACCAGTTGCCAAGGATCTGAATTTTGATTACATGACCATGGAGATGCTGCAATGGTCTTCATTGTGAAAAATGGTCATAAGGAACTTTTCCCAGTGCCATTTTAACTTCAAATGGTCATTAAACGAATGGCTATAAATCCAGAACTACCTGTACTGTGTTTTCGACAAAGGTCAATGTAAGGTTTTTCCATCTTACAATATTAACTTAGTGGAGCCATACAATCTGGGAATCAGTGGTATAGGCAATTCCTTGGTCTAGAACGGGTGTCTGCAACCTGCAGCTCCGGAGACGCATGTGGCTCTTTCGTCCCCGTGCTGTGGCTCCCTATCCGCTGAACCCACCACTAGCTGGCCCCGCCCCTCACCCTCCCCTCCCAGTCACTCCTCGCCTGGCCTAAGAAGGTAAGGGCGATTCCCTAAGGCAGGGGTCTGCAACCTTAAATACTCATTGAGCCATTTGGACCAGTGGTGGGTTGCCCCTGGTTCGCACCGGTTCTATAGAACCAGTAGTAAAACCGGTGGGAGGCTCCGCCCACCGACCCTGACATCATCAAAACGTTTCTGCGCATGCGGCCCCGCTGTGAACAGGTAGTAAAGGTAAGTAGAACCCACCCCTGATCTGGACCCGTTTCCCACAGAAAAGAAAACACCAGGAGCAACAGAACCTGGGTGGGCGTGGCCAACTCGAGGTCATTCACTTCCACCGGTCTCATAACCCCTAGCCACACCTACCCAGCCGGTCACTAGGGCAGAGAACCAGTTGTTAAAAAACACTGGGAACCACAAAATCCTTTTGACATCTCTCTCTCTCTCTCTCTCTCCCTCCCGCCCTCTCTCTCCCCCCCCCTCTCTCTATGTCTCTATGTCTGTCTCTCTCCTCCTCTCTCTGTATCTCTCTGTCTATGCCCTGGCCACTTCTCCATCCCCCGCCGTCGCCCTTACCTTCTCAGGCCAGGCAAGGAGTGACTGGGAGGGGAGGGCGAGGGGCGGGGCCAGCCAATGGTGGGATCACCTAACACGGAGCCACAGCAGAGGGCCCAAAGAGACACATGTGGCTCCGGAGCCGCAAGTTGCTGACCTCTGACCTAAGGTAACACCAGGAGGCACAAAACCTGGGTAAGCGTGTCATGTGACGGGGTGGGAGTGAGTGATGTCTAGTTGGCCACACCCACCCAGGTTTTGTGGCTCCCGGTGATTTCTTTTCTGTGGGAAACGGGTCCAAATGGCTCTTTGAGTGTTTAAGGTTGCAGACCCCTGGTCTAGAATCTGGTACAAATTATGCACATACACCCTTAACTTACCTCTGAAGCTGTCATGAAAAAATTCCATGGCAAGAGCGTCCCAAGACCAAGTATGAAAAAGATGAGCCAAACAGCCTTATATCTATAAGAAATAAGGTTGATTAATGAACACTAAACATGACAGAGTGAGGTGATTCAGGTCTGTCTCCAATAGAAGGGAATGCATATACAGTATTTTAGGGTTGAACTGTGGAATTCTTGCTGCTCTCTTAGCTTAGCTGTTTGCTCGCAGACGTTTCATTACCCACGTAGGTAACATAATCATCACTCATATTGATGATTCTATCTAACTGGGTAATGAAACATCTGGAAACAAACCACCAAGCTCAGAGAGTTTGATATGACACAAGAACTCAACAAAGCCTATGTGTCATATCATCCTTACATCATACATATCCCCGAGCAGTGTAAAATAGAAGTTAAAAATAAAGACACAGTAAAGACAAAAGCAGTCTTAAAATATTATTTAAGCTATTAAATAATTGGCCTCAACTAAAAAAAAAAATATTTCACAATAACAGAATAAACCACATAAGGAAACTACAAATACTTACAAGGGTTATGCAAGTTCACAAAAGCCTCAGAGAAAAACAACGAACAAGAAAGGAGAACTCATATGTGGTTCTTGAAAAAAATCCTAGTATCAGACTGACAAGGTAAAAAAGCTTTTCCCTGATTGTCAAATATTTGCTAAATTTGCAGCAACTCCAAGGTTTAGATACCTGGTTCTATCCAATGCTAGGAAAAAAAATTCGAAAGGGTGACCCATAGCAGATACCAAAAATGATCCTTGTCAGGACAGTAGGGAACCAACAGAAGCCCACAACTGTTATTTTGGTGGCGCAGCAGACTAAAGCAAGAAAGAGCCTTGGTGGCGCAGCAGACTAAAGCACTGTTAAGTAACACCAGCTGCCTGCAATTACTGCAAGTTCAAATCTCACCAGGCTCAAAGTTGACTCAGCCTTCCATCCTTCCGAGGTATGTAAAATGAGGACCCGGATTGTGGGGGCAATAAGCTGACTTTGTATAAAAAAAAGAACACCGCTTAGGGGGGGCCAAAAGCCCTACTAAGCAGGTATATACAAAAGTATGAAGGCTATTGCTTAACGCATTGTAAGCCGTCCTGAATCGCCAGAGAAGGGTGGCATATAAATTGAACCAATAAATAAATAAATAAATAAATTTAGTGACACCTGACTTAGTGTTTAGCAAACAGTATGCTCTGCATTCACATGACATGGGTATACTTGTTCATGAGTGAAACAACACCATTTTGTCTCATTATAGAATTACTGTACCTGTCTTGGGGAATACTGCCTGTCATAACGGCACTTTAGAATTGTTTTACGTCGCGTTTGGTCACCTAAAAAAGGAAATAAAGGGGAAGAGAAAAATAATTAATTTAAGAGGAAGAAATAGGATAAGTCAAGAAATAAGATTAAGAAATAATCAGAATGGAAATTATGTAAAGAAGTACAATAAATACAATATATGTTGGTTTAAGGGGAGGGGGGGGACAAGATTTCTCAGCCTAGTTGGGCCAGTAATACTCCTAGATATTCTCTGCTAACTTTCCTCCCTTTAAGTAGTTTGGCACACTTACAAACAAGACTGTAAATATTTATTTATATTTTTTTATTTCTAAGAAAGTTTCTGAGTTAAGTCAGACTCAGAGGCTGTGTAAGAAAAGAGAGGTTATGCTTAGGAGTGATGCTTTGCATTAGACAACAAAGTTTTGAAAAGTAATCAAAAATAAAATGAATCAGGTGGCTCAAACCCTGACAAGTTCCAAAAGAGTTATGGTATTTATGATCACAAACAAAGGCTTTAACGTACTGATAGTTTATGTGCTGAGAAATACTTTGGAAATACCCACAGTAATAAAGATAACATAATTTAAACACTGTAATTTTAGAAAATATATACTTCACTGTGCATATACTGATGTCAAAAAATGTAGTATGGACCTAATTTTTGCTTAAACCTTCAGTGGTTAATAAATTGCTTACAATATATTATCATTTATACCAGAATTTTCTTCGTTATTGGTTTGCTATTGGTAGCGCTCGCTCACTTTGGGAGGACATGATGCTTCTGCGCATGCGCAGAGTGCTTTTGATGACTTCCGGGTATGTGGGCAGAGCCCCTGCCGCTGCCGCTACCAGTTTGCCCGAACCAGGGTGAACCAGTAGCAACCCACCCCTGATTTATACCATGAGATTGAGGGGTGGGGACTTTCCATTTTAAGAAAATGAAACCAAATTAAATCGTCTAAGGTTCTCCTAAACTAGTTTAATTGCTCTGTGTCAATACCTGATTTTAATGTTCTAGAACTGTCTGATTTTGGTACTGAGGAGAATTTGTCTGTTTTATTAACTAGTTGAAAAGGCCTCACTATTGGAACACCAAACGGTTCTGGGCTATTCACACGGAAAACATGACATCAAAACCTAGGATCTGGGACCTTGTATACATAGTAACATGGAACAACAACTAATATTGTCAGAGTTTCCTAGAAATATGACAAAATGGCTCTTAATTGGGATTTTAAATTTTATAGACTTGGGGGTTTTAAATTGGGAAGCCAATGATTAATTCTTTTTAATTATCTTAACTTTTGTATTGTATGTTTTTTAATTTTGGCTGTTCACCGCCCTGAGTCCCTTCTGGGAGAAGGGCGGTATACAAATTAAACAAACAAACAAACAAACAAATAAATAAAATGTACCACACAGAAAAATATCTAGGCTATACTGCTTGTGTAACCAGGTTGGGGCCACATCATTCTGGAGATTATCTATCTATGTGGTTACTACGAATCAACACCAATGTGATAGCACATAATCCTGTTTATAGCCTGGTTGTATACTGAAGGAAGCAAATGCTAAATGTTCTTGTTGAGCTTATTTTAGGCAGAGAATTACTCATGAGAAGGTAACAGAACCAAGTAGTACTTTCTATGTTTCAGAATAAAGTTTAGGCGCTGGAGAGCTGATCTAGGGGCTCCCATCAGAGCAGGGTCTGAAATATCATAACTGGTCAGGAAGTTCAGTAAGTAAATATAGATTTCCCTACTCCCATATAGGACTGAAAGTTCAGCACCATAAAAGATGCTGAGTCTAGCATTAGATGGGATTGAGAAAGCTCATCAATGTCAGGAACATAGGAAGGATTAGCAAGGCTACAACATCATCTGTTCTGAAATTTAAAACCATTATTTCTGCCTCTTTCTTCCTATTAAAGAGGACAGAATCTACAGTTACTAAGTCCCCTTTATTATTTCAACTTGGGGAATTAAGAATTCCTTTCCATCAATGCTTTCCAGAATAAAATAAACAGTAGGGCCTAAAAATTCAGAAAAAAAGAAAAATGCAAAAAAAAAGAGTACATTTTTAATAAGCAATCAAGCCAATTTTGCAATCCTGTGCCTATAAATTTGACTGTCTTTATTCAAATGCATTGTATCCTATACTCATCCCTACTGAACATCATCTTGCTGAATCTGATCTATTACTCAGAAGTATTGAAGTCATTTAAGACGTTAGTCAATCCTCTCAAACGTGGCATATCTAGAAATTAAAAAAACAACCACCCTTTATTCCATCCTGTAGTTGAGATTAGTTAAAATAACACAGAGTCATTCTTTTCTAAGAACTGGGAGACACATTGTTTGACAATCTTTTCTAGTGCTAGAATGTAAGCAAGCAAAAAAGTGGGTAAGTTCTTTACCTCTAAAGGAGTGAGAATAAAGGAAGATGAAAGGGAAACTAATCAAGAACAGATAAATAAGAAACATTTAACAGTTAAGAATATCTCGCCAATAAATCTTACCCAAATCTTGTTTTTCTCTATTCTGACAATACTGCAACTTACACAACTTTCTTCGGAATGAATTTTTAAAAGTGCCAAAAACAACCAGGAAATCCATTGTCACCAGTTTCCACAAGCATCCTTCCCTAACTGTGCAGGGTTCTGGATATATGCCCATAACAACCTGTCACTCTGTATAATGGATAGTTTAAATATTTATTGTCTATTATATAGCTAAACTCTGCTTACAACATTTGCTGGCATATTCCTTTATAAAATTATTATCTCATTTATTTTTGAGATGCCAGCAGAACTATGGCAGTTCCTGCAAAAACTGCTTCCAAGAGTTACTGCCAACTATTTTCTCTGAACTGGAAAGTAGTTGTTATGCAAAAACATCCTCAAAAATAGCGGAGGTGAATCATATGAATCATATGGGTTTTTATTATTGTATGTTTTTAATCTGTGTTCGCCGCCCTGAGTCCTTCCGGAGAAGGGCGGCATATAAATTCTGTAAAATAAATAAAATAAATAAATAAATAAATTTTGTCCCCTTCTTTATATATTGCAATGTGTTCCATGTGAATCAACTCTTTTACATATCTCATCATATCCTTTCTCAAATATTTCTTCTATCCCTGTAGGTCATTTCAAAGAAAAAAAATTATCCCAGAGCATAGTTTATCCAATTGTGAATGTAAAATCACTACAAATGTGAAGCATTCTTCACCACTGAGTAACACTGAGTTATGTTACCACCAACTGTGGTGATTCAGTTAATGATTATCACAAAAATGTCATAAAATTGGGTCCAGTACTTCAAGTTATGACTATAACTACTTACAAACAGAAATCTGATCCCAATTGTGGTTATAAATCAAGGATTACCTGTAGAATTGAGGAGGTTGGAAAGGTGGAAGAAGATTATAATCCATCAGAGAAGTAGACCTCAAATGCAAATAAGAGACCCAAAGCAAACAGATGCCTTGCACAATGAAGCATGAGGGAATTCCAGTCATTAGATAAATGGCTGGAATAGTGGACTAAACCAGGGATGAAATGCTACTGGTTCCGTCCAGTTCGCCCAAACCGGTAGTAAAAAAGGCTTTTAAAAGTTTTTTTTAAAAAAGTTCCAAAGATCGCGTGTCACTCAACTGATTGTCAGAACTTTTTTTTTTCTTTTTTTCTTTTTAAGCATTTTTTTTTACTACCGGTAGTAAAAAATGCTTAAAAAAAAAAAAAAAGGCTCTGATGATCACAACTGTGGCGCGCGATTGTCAGAGCCTTTTTTAAAACTTTTTTAAAGCATTTTTTTACAACCTATTTGGCGAATAGGTTGTAAAAAAATGCTTTTAAAAGTTAAATAAACGGCTCTGAAGATCGCACGCCACAGCTGATCCCCCCTCACGCACTGTTCTACTTACCCCATGCCTCCTTTTGGTGTGCACGCACGCATACCTTACATTTGGTCACCATGCACCAAATTTTGGTGCATGGTGCGCACTGTGCATGCATTGCACAGCACACATTTGGTGCACAGCGTGCATGCGCAGCCAGCAAACCAGTAGTAAACCAGTTCAGATTTCACCACTGGACTGAACTCAAGCAGAATTAAAAACCCTGGATAAGAATACGAGAAAAGCAATGACAATGAATGTACTTCATCAATGCAGCAAAGTTGACAGATTCTACTTGCCAAGGAAAACAGGTGAGCATGGAATGTTGCAAGTACACCAGACAGTTGAAAAAGAAAAAAAAGGCATTGGAAGAATATCTAAAGGTTAGTGAAGAAGATGCACAGAAGCAAGTGCAGTACTGTAGGATAACTTACTAAATGCTGGAGAGAGCCTAAACTGGCCTACAAGAAAGACCAAATGAAAAACAATAAAGAGATGTGGCAAGGCATAGTATTGCATGGCCTGTACATTAAAAAAAAGTAGCAGGTAAAATGGATAACAAGACTTGGGAATGGCTAAGAGCAGGAACGTTGAAGAAAGAGTCAGAGGGAATCATTCGGAGTGCACAAGACCAACCTTTAGGAACAAATGCATATAAAGCCAGAACTGGAAAGAAAGCAACAGGCAGCAATTGCAATCTTTGCAAAGAAGCTGAAAAAACAGTGGGCCACCTAATTAGCTGCTGCAAGAAGATTTGCACAAACTGATTACAAACAATGGCATGGCAAAGTAGTATCAATGGTGTATCGAAATATCTGCAAGAAATACCATTTACCTGCAAGCAAGAACTAGTGGAACCACAAAATAGATGAAGTAATCAAAAATGAAGAAGATAAAGAGATTTTGGACTTTAGAATTCAAACAGACAAGCATCTGTCACATACTACCCAGGTTTAACCATTGGTAATAAGAAAGACAAAAAAGTTAGTATAATGACAGTACCTAGAGACAGTAGAATACAACAGAAAGAACTGGTGAAGATCACAAAATATAAGGACTTATAGCAAATAGAATGACTATGGCAAAAGAAAGCCATAGTTATTAGGCACCTCAGATGCAATCCCAAGACATCAAGAGCTTTGAATTTCATCATCAT